TGTTTCACAGATTCAAAACGTTCTGAGTGTAAAATTCAAAGCAGTCAACCATGTTTTGTTCTGATGTTTTCGAAAAACACTAAGGTTTCTACAGTCTGACGGGTTTTCTCACCGAATCTCAAATAACAGTTTAGTAGTTCGTTTTTGGTTGTTCTTTTATGTATTCTTCCGTTCGTCTAAGGCTGGAGTGTACCAGTGAGAAAGCTGCAAAAGTTGTCAAACTGAAAATACATAATTTACAATGGCTATATGTGAGTAAAACATGGGTACACACAACAGCATCACTATTTACGGATCAACGATTGTGCCTTTAAAACAGGTCTACCAAAAACTTGTTAACCGGAGGGTGTTAGCATGACTTGTGTGACGACTTGGCGGAGGGCATACTTTTGAAACAAATTATCAACCTTGAACCTGTAATCCTCTTTGAACCAATACTTGGCAAACATCTTGTAACATCTGCACTCTTTTGGAAACAGCCCTACCTCACCCCTTACAATAAGTCTTCCACTGGACCTATGCGCTGCGGTGTAGACAACCGTAAAAGATAAACCTCATTGGTCAAAATGTTCGCACCACCTTCAGTGACCATACCTGTAGATGGTGCAGCGGAACTGGTCGAAGTTTTCGACCAGTCGACTGTAAACAGACAGTTGAACGGATAAAATGAAACAATGCGGAAACTTGATTTGAGCTTCTATGATCCAAAAGCAGTTAAAAGACGAAGACATGTGGGATGTTTTAATTGGAATCTATCATCAATTTTAAATGGATAATGATTTTTATCAAAGTGTGTGAAGTACATATTCCGGCAATTAGGTTACCTTTGATTCAATGAACAGTGAAATTTTGTTACTCCAATAGTCGTTGAAAAGAAATAAAGTCTATGAAAATGAAACATACAGGTTGACTGCAGTCCGTTACTTTATAAGCAACAAAGAGACATCCTTCTTTTGCATTCAGCTTTCCACGTCCCAAGCGATCAGGAACATTTTTATAAGCAACCCATTTTGATAAAACAGGATCATATGCAAATAAAAACCCATCGCAATACCTGTTTGTTTGCATCGTTTTGCTGACATCCATATATGTATGTTCAAAGAACAGATAGAAAAGGAAGCCTAGATCACTGTTTACTCTACTTGGTAATATGTATCAAATACAGCAGCACAAGAAATACCGGGTGGTGTCAAATCGATTTCTGCGGTTTCCCTGATGAGTTTTGATGCTCTGTACATAAAAAAGAACGTTGTTCACTTGTGTCATACACAATTTGGGATTATTAACACGCGGTCGATTTCTGTTACCCGGAAAGTTGGTTGGTTCGTGGACGATTCACTTTCCGGGGCCTTTGAAAGCGTTGCGAAGAAACAATCAGCACGTCGCAGTTTGAGTTGTTCAACGATCTAAATAATTCCGAATGATGTGTTCAATTCAACGTGTTTCCAATGATGATGGCAAAGATTGATTCTCTGACTACAAAGATTATTTTCCATATTTCACCAGGGTTTATTTTCAAGCATGATTTCAGTTAACTCTGATTCACGCATGCGATATTAAACTTTTTTAGTCAGAAGTTTGCTTCTTGTCTCTATTTGAATAACATGACGATATAGAAGTGAATGGCATAGAAAACAATTTAATGGAAATCATACTGTTTGGGCCAATCAAAAATTAGTGGTGTTTCGTCAAACACAATGTACACCATGTGACAGGTTTTGGAAAGAAACAAACCTAATGCGCAATGTGAAAAACCTAGAAGAAATAACGCGGTACTAGAGTAATCACTCTAAGCATCAAACCTTAACCAGCACTGATGTAATGCTAAATAGGATTCACGGGTAATAATGCGAAATATCCAACTAAAATGAGACCAGACATTCTAAATTTACAAACTGGACTAAATTTCATCAGCACTGGTTTTCTGGAACACATTTAGATATCCAGGAAATTTCTGCAGTATCGTGAAATAAGATCAGGACCGAGGATTGCAAAACGCTAAACAGAGGCCTCGGATCTTGTTGAATAAATACGAAATTAACATGTATTTCAAATACTATTTGAATAAAATTTGAAACAAATAGTGTGCACTGATAAAGCACGTGTTAACCGACGGCCACAAATCATAATCTGTTGTGTTATTGGAGTAGGATGGCGTGAAGAACCGGTTCGGAAGCATGCAAAATTCTGTTGAACCCCGAAATCATTACATTTCAAATCAATTTGATCAAAATATCAATTTCCTTTCTCCATTCTGCTCGAGCTCCAAGACGTTGCAACATTGAAACCTACGTTCAAGTTTGGTGCAAAAGTGTTTCAGGGTTTGGAGGCCCACTGGTTCTCGGCATTCAGAATGCAGCTTTAGTTGAACTTCAAACTCGTCGCGTACACGCTTTGCAGTATTGAAATCATTTTCATAAACGGGTATCCTCATGAACATAGATGTGTGATAATCTCAAATCTGTGGAAGCAATTCACCTCGATTTAACAGTAAAACGGAATAGACTAAACGGTAAGGCATTTGTCGAAATGTCTTAAAGGATAGCATAATGGATAAATTACGCAGGGTAAGACTAATCCCATAACCAGTGTAATTTCCGGTCAGCTGCGCCACATCAACCAAACGATTTTCCGGAGAAGAAGCCAAGTATTACATTCAGAATGTCTCCAAACAGTTACTGGTTGCTCGAGATTTGATACTAGCCGTAACTCATGCAGTTGAATTAGAGAAGCTAACTCTTATGGTCAGATACAATGAATTTTGAAGGAATACAACATGACACTTGACATTACCGGAGGACGGTTCCTTCAAACGTGGATAAACTAATCGAGGAAACATAAAATGTCACTCTCTGCACTTTCTTAGAGTCATAAGCCAACAATCCATAACCCATCCAAGGGCTGTAATCGTGACACCTTTCTTTTGCAATATTTGACTTCCACAAGTATTAGTAGAAATTACGTTTCACACATTTGACGAATTCTACGCACTGACAGAACTAAGGTAACTATTTAGAGAGTTTCGTATGCGGTAAATAATTTCTCAGTATTATGCGCATATTGGATGACTTTGCACGGATAACGTTTTTCGCATTGCTGAAATCCCCTTTGTCTTCTCATTTGACCGGAAGCTGCTATCCTCACAAGCACACACGCACAATATGTATATATATATCATCCAAAAAAGGGGTTTTCTGTTTGATCACCTTATCCCTTCCCTCCGTTTTCACACAGAGGACAATGGATCCAACCGGGACAGCGCAATTCATCCGGAAAACGATTCTCGCTGTTGTAGTTTGGCGTGCTATAATACACCGGCTTGTCTGATTTCTCAGAGCCCGGCATGCCAACCCGAGACGCAGTTCATGGTTAACAAAACAGACTTCTGCTTGAAAGGTAAGCCCTTTGGGAACGTACAAGTGCCCCTCACCGAGGATGATTGTGCTATGCGCATGTCACGTTTACTATAGATTGCTCTATCATGTTCCTCTCGATGGGGAAAAACGTTGTCCTTCATGTGGACAGAATAATTTGTGTGTGAGCCTTCGTATGCCGCAACTCATCTGAAAGTAATAGTATTATTATGAAAGTCAGACAGATTGGTTTAGCAATTTAAAAATTTAAAATAACTACAAAGTTTATGTGCATGAATACGCACCGATCGATGCTTGTCTGATCATTTTCGAATCGCGTGTCAAAGTACCATACACACTCAGGAATATAGAACCGTTCAGTTTCGGGTTTCTAACAAATCGCGCTGGATAGAAAATCCCAGTTCCAGTCCACATACAATGGAAACGTATGAGGTGCAATCTCGACCAACAGACGAACAAATAAACAAGTGAACGCTCACACGAACAAACATAGTATGCAAAATAAAACCAACTTCCACGAAAGCTTACGATTTTTTCTCGCAACAACATCCAAATAACACGCAACAGACTTCATATTCCTAACGACCACGAACCCAGACGTTTGGAGCGAAAAGGTACTCGATGGCAAATGTATCAGTCTTTAATCACGAAGAATGATGCCAGAGATATAGACGGGTCACAAAACGCTGCAGAAAAAAAATAATTTCGTGGATTCGGTGAACCGAATCGAATTAAAATTGAACTGTCGTCTCGGGGGCTTTTGTGCGAACCTTTTCAGAAGACGAATTGTAGGTGGTCTGCGGATTGTTATTTTGTAGACAATCGTATGCAGTTGGGCATGAATTGGTCATCGATGTTCAATAAACCTTTTAAACAATTCCAAATGGACGATGATAAATCGCGCTAAATTTTTTATTTCCTCCGGAATGTCTTACAATGCTCAAAATCATTCTGCCATTGGTAGCCGTTTCTCATTGAGAGGTGATGCTAAATATTAAGTTGCGCAATTCGAACTTTGACAATGGTGTGTGAATTCTGGAGTGACAATCATCGAGGAAGATCGGGTATCGTTACACGTTCATTGAATAATATATTAGACCAACGCGTGGAGAAATTCGAAACTGAAACGCCTTCATTAAATGATAATTTGACCTTATCCTATATAACTGAAGGTTCTTGTTATCCTTCCACCAGGCGCATTTTCCGAATCATTCATAGCACATTCGATGTGGACTGTTTAGAAATTTTTACTTATTTGCCCGGTTTTGTTTCAAGCCTTATTTATTAAGATCAACCACTTCAGTAGTTAACTAAGCGGTCACCTGTTCCTGGGGAGCTTTTCGTGTTGATTTATTCAGTCAGAAGACTGTGGCAATAAAACGATATTCACAAAACTTTTACAAATGTCTATGACGGAACATCTCAGTGAAAATTTGACTGTCGGTGTGAAGAGGTGAAAAATTGTGGGACATGATCCAGAGTTCCAGTAAACTGGCATACAAAGAGAGAGAGTTTACAGCAGAGGTTGTTGAAAACCAAAAGAATTAGTTCTGCAAGAAGAAACAACTTCAAAGATACACTATGAAACATTGGTTTTTTGATAAAACGAGATTAGAAACCGCGCTCCCAACACCAAGGGATTCGCATATGAATACGTATGGACTGAAAATCATCGCGCTCCATTTTTTTACAATGACTTCAGTTATATCATTCGTTGATGTATTTGTATCTGCTTTACTCATGTCAGCCTATAGGCTTACTTTTTATTTATGATGTACACAGGTTGTCACACCAAACGAAGGATTCAGATTAGGAAAATATGCAAGGAGAAATAGCGTCGCTGAATTTTGGCTTTTGCAAAACAATCTGATGCAATTCATCAATAAACTGTTTCGTGTCATTTAGGAATCAAACCGTATAATCTAAATGGGCATTGTGGTAAATAGTAACAGCAGAAGGTATTGATCAAATTAATGAGTGTGTAGGTGGATGGGAGGGAGGGAGAAGATAAATCACAGTGCAGTGTGGATGAAGAGATTCATTTGGATAATGCAAACGATTGCGCTCACTCAAACCAAGGAACGACCGCGAGGTTATTTTGCTTGATTTAAGGGTATGCATAAAACACATGCATGGTACTCCCGTATATACATCAAACTATTAAACCGAAGATGTTTTAATCTAACAGCAACTTAGTCTCGCCCCCCCCCACCGCCAAAAAAGAGGGGGAACGAATTACTTCAAAATATTTTCTTGAAAAAATGTCTTATTAAACAAGAGTGATAACCGGTTCCAGTTTGTAAAATGCAAATCCAAATGAAGATCAAAACTCTGCATATATATATTAAACAATCCTGTTGATATCAATCAGAACAAGGAAAAGGCGGAAGTTGAATGAATAAATTTTGAAGATGCTCTTCTTGTTGCTCGGGTGGACTGCGTTCCATTTTTATTGTTCATCGAGCTTGGCAATTTGTTTGTGAACGTTCCATCCCTAGTCGAGATGATATCTACACAAGCACTAATGGCGAAACATTTGCAATCAAATCGTCTAGCTTGGCGACCAGGGGCAATTACATTCGTGTAGGTTTCATCACCTGTTCGTTCCATAAGGAAAGCGAACACAAAGATCACGTAGATCTATGGAATTCTTCGCCAAAATGTATCTTATTGAGAGCCGCTTTTAGAAGTACGATCCATTCATCCACTGAGCGGTAGCAAAGTGATCGAAGTGAGTTGGTTACGCTTAGCTCAACGACCATTCACAGGTATTGACCAAACTCGTGCAACATCCTGATTTTCATTACATTTGTTCCTCGCAATGTATACTTTCTTTGTAAGAAGATAAAAGAATCAACTAGTTTTACAAACAGGTGGTGGCTGGTGTAATAAGTAACTGTATATAAGATCTATTTTATTAACTAAAAAACCCTGCGTTCAGCCCAAGCAGATCCAATGCCATTCAATAAAAATGCTTTGATAAATTCCAACAACAAACAACCGTTTTACACGGTTTCACTTAGTAATTTAACACGTTTGTCATATTGTCCGCGCTAATTGATCATTCAGGGAACACGTTCAAATTTTCAATCACCCCGGAGTTCGGGTTTTACAACGGGACCGTACAGTGTCACATGCGACGTGCTCGAACTGGGTCGTGGACGCGTTTGGATTATGTGCTGGATTTTATGAATACCGTTGTGGGCGCAAAGCGGTGGGCCTACGGTGCCAGTGTACCCGAATGGACTATCGCACATTCCACCCAGATCAATGGAGATTCTCGAACCAGTATCACATTAGCTGAGGGTTTGCATATGGACGTGGAGCATTCATCCTTCTTGAATGGAATAAATCGTACAGAAAGCCATGCGTCAGGCGAAGAGAAACACTCAACTGACGAAGACCGAATGCAAGAAGCGATTCTGGTGGCCACGTATCAAAACAAATCAAATTGTAAGTTTCTGATCAAGGGATCGAGATACACAGTTTTTAATATGATTTAGTTCTACGGTACACTTTCTATTTGCTTGGTTCTATCGTGTGGTCAGTGCGGTTCAGGAATACCAAGTTTATCTTTGAAGGTGGAAATGTGTATCACCGGTTGCTTTTTGATTTTTTCCCTCGCCAAAATCTATCTGGTACATAGAAGTGGTTCACTAAAAATTAACTTAAAAACTCGCAATCGATTAGGGAATTTTAAATCAGGATTTACCATCAAAGACTGTTCCTTTACTGTAATAACAGGTTTAGAACATACTGTCAGCGGTTAAGTTTATGGAAACGTTGCAAAGATGATATTTGCTTTGCATATACTATTCTGCTTAACGTAATCTTCCCATGTTTACTTCCTAGATTTCTTTGCCAACTTTTGTTTGTTAATCGGAAGTAACCCATAGCGTTTTGGACTGCTCAGAACAACAAACTGCTGGTGTAACTAAGGACAAGGATTCAAATTGACACCAAATAACAATTGATTTGTTTATTTGATTTTCATTACATTTATCAAAGCGACCTGTTATTCAAAACTTCAATAAAGCAATTTGTGCTCCAGTGTAAAGCGTTTAAAGTCAAACGTTTCATTGTATGGTTTGTTATATACATCAGTACTCATAAGTGAGAGGCTTACTACCAAGAAATATGAATTATTGCCCAAGTCATAGTAGGTAGGATTCTTCTTATGTTTGTAACAGCAAACAAAAAATATTCTGGTAACTTTTGAGGAGATACATGAAAAACAAAGCTCTTACAAAATGAAAAACATACCACAGTCAAACATGGAAGATGCTGCTGGTTGTATTGCGCCTCCACGGGACTAACTTGGTCTTGCTGCCGGAGCTGTCTTTCCTCGGGTGACGAGAGTTGCCAATGTGAAAAGGGAAGGAAACCGGAGAAAACATGACCCAAAATTTGATGTTCAGGTGTCGATCAAACTTATAGGTCATATAAGTTGAGCTACATTGAAATGTTTAACTCCATACCTGACGAAATAAACCTCGAATACGACAAAGGAGCAATAGCCCGCCAAACTGTCCCTTTTTCTCATTACGGGACTAAAATTCATAATGACAGTATCGACCTAAAAGAAGCAGGTCGGTTCTCAAAAGCGGAAGGGACAACCAACTGAAGCCAGTTCGATGTCTCACAGATTGAATCCAAATGATAGTTCATCAATAGACATGCCTTGGAAAGACAACTGCAGACGATCTTTACTAATTTACCGGCTTGTACAACAGCGGATAGCTGAAAACCTAGAAATCAATACTGGCATAAATGATAATCTAAACTAGACAAAAGACTACGAATAAATAAATGCTTATGATCACCTCGTATGAATTTGAGGCCAAAACCTGCCAACAACTATATCGAAAAGGACAAATAATAAAATGATCGGCGCAGTTCGAAACTTAAAGATAATTCTTCTGTTGTTTTATGAATAGAGATCTTTATAAAAATCTGTTACCTACTCAATTCGGTGGAAATTGATGTATATTTTTCAAAGAGTAAACATTGCACGTAAAAAAACTTGAACAAAAGCTATACCTACTATATTGAGTAATTGCATAATTGTATTTGGTTGGCTTTGTCTGCGCACATTGAATATCAGTGATTTGTGCGACCCAATTCTTTTCAATTCGGACAGCCTGGTGCACGGTTTTACTGAGCCCTTCAGAAAACCAGATGTTTTCGGGGTAGATACATATCACTCATTAGGGGATTCAAATGATGTTGAAGGCGCATTCAACCGGGCGATGGTGTATGCACTACTTTAGGGTGATTACAATTTAATTGATGACTTTTTCATTTCTATTTACAACTCGTTTGAAGTAAACAAAAATCAACATTTTCCGTATAGCCTAACTTTATTGATATCCTGTATCCTAGTTCAATAGAAAATTATTCGGGATTCTCTATCTGTTACTGATTCGTGANGCGGGAAACATTCAATCCAATATTTCCAAAATACCAAAATAGAATTTGATATATCAATGTTCCGTTCTATTCTGTTCTATTCTCCATATCGCTGCTTTTCTTTCCGTGAAAAAAGAAAACAAATATTTCTTAGCTGTTACTGGTCCGATGATGGCAGGGCGGTTTTCATCCGTGATCTGTTTCAATGCATAAGTTAATCTCCTCCCCCCCTCCCACATTAACTTCACAAGCCATCGATATCCAGTTGGTGTTGTCCGAATGAGCGCCGTTCTTCACCGGTCAAATGATTCGGATCAAAGAACATCACCCGGGGTAGTTAATACTGGGACCGACCGGATTAAAAACTAACTCAATCCTAGCAAACTTAGTGGACACTTGACATCAAATAAATCCGGATGCTGCTTTCAAATTTTTTTATCGTATCCCCAATACCAAATGCACGGGTGTTCATCTGCACCCTCTAGGAATAACCGAGACGATCGGAATAAGAAAGTTGACCCCTGACCTCTATGTTCAAAATGGTCTAGTATAGCCAATTCAAATTCCATGGTCCTTTATTGATCATGCTCGATTCGTTCCACCCTACAGTTATCCTGAGGCTAACTAGTTAAACCGATCGAATGACAAGAGCACGTTGACTGTGGTAAACATTTACCCATGATT